AGGAGAAAACAGAAGAACACGTTAACAGAAATGTACAAAACGCTACAGCCAGGATGAGCTGCGTCACAGCTCGCGTACTTACTTTCAGAACTCTTGTTGCCATCACTGATAAAAGCCTGTATTTGCACATCCCACAGCGTCATGTTGACGTCACCACTTTCGATCAGGTCCTCACTTTTGCACGAGTAGCAGGTATCCATGCCTATGTTTTTAATGTCAAGAAGCCCTCTTGCCACAGTAGGTTCTAACAAATCGAGAAAAGTCCAAAAAGTCAGCAAGATCTATCGCCAAGTTTTTTTTAAAAATAAATAAACAAACAAACAAACATCAAGAGATGTAGACGTTACCTTTTGATTTAGAGTTAGGGAAGTGGACAGGGTCGCCGAGATTGTAGGTAAAGGTGACTACGTCCGCCTCGTAAACTTCTTCAATCTTGGAGAAGGTTATACTGAAAGCGTGACCCTCTCCAAAATTAAGCATCAGCATTGAGTTCTTGGCATCACATGTACTTTTAGTTGAATTGGCGTCATCAGTTAAAGCAAACACAGCTGTCTGAGTCTGAAAGACAGTGTAAATGATCATAGGAACTTAATCTGACACTTGACAAGTTTAACATTTAACTTGTAAGATGGGCAAAACAGAATACATTTCAAATTAATAACAAAATGGATCCACAGCTAATCAAGCAAGGGGTAAGCTCAGACAGTATAAGATGGATGCAGGTAATCAGAATGGCTATTGTGAATCCTCAAGTTGAGTGCTGTCACAGTCACAAGCTAGGCTGAATAGTCATTCTCCAGGGCTCTGTCATTGACTAGCCTTTTGTGACCAATTACCAAAATAAACTTCAATCACATGACATTAGTGTTAGAAACCATGAAGTTATCATGAAAGCATTTCTTGATGTCACTGAGCAAAGGACATGTCTTCAACCAGGTGGCACCCCCTGCTGGTCATTAAAGAGAAAGCTGTGTCAAGGCATTTCTGCTAGGGCTTCACTTTTTAGACTCAGAAGCTGCATCATCTTCTATACAATGAGCAAAACAAGAAAGCTTCTAATTTTCAGTCCGTGTTTACCGACCACCTCCAATCAGCTTTAGATTTTAAATTATGCCAACATGTCCATATTTTTCCCCTTTTTAAAAACACAAATACAAGTAAACATACAGTCAACGCCAATGATCAGCACAAAAGCAGATTCTGAAAACCACAAGTCAAAATTAAGGAACCAGTTCTGTCGTGTGTTCATAGAGCTTAGACATGAAGCTTATTTAACACTAGCAGCTACTAGCCAACAGTAGCCTGGTCTATTAACACTTGACAGGAGTTTGTGATAGCAGTTTAACATTGGTTAAATCAAGACTAGCAACAACTAGCACCCATCCTTCATCCTGCAGGCTTCAAGAGCAGTGGAATTTCATTTAAATTTCACCTGCCCTGACAAGCCCGAACAGCACAGAGTTTGTAAATGCTTCTTGATTTGCAAACAGGGTCTCTCCCCTCCCTGTGTTGATTACAGTCTTTAGAGGCATTTTAATGGACTGATGTTGACAAATGTAGGAAAAAGTACAAGTTTTAAAACAAAAAAAATCATTTGTGGGGATCTGTTTTATTATAGCTTGTCTTTTTAATTTTAAAAAAAAAAGTGTGCGTACCATGTTTACTTATCTTTGTGGGGACCGGAAATTGGAATGTTACTATACTTATGGGGACAAAATGACTGTCCCAACAAGGTTGAAGGCATTTGAAACTCAATAGGGTTTTAGTGTCAGGGTTACAATTGTCCTAAACCTAACTTTAACCTAAGGGTTAAGATTAGGCATCCTTTTTATGGTTAGGGTAAGCAGCTAGGGAAAGCATCATGTCAATTAGATGTCCTCACTAAGATATGAAAACTGTGTTTAAAAAGTAACATTTTGATAAACAGATCAGATTGTAGGGTTTAAAAGAAAGAACAAAAATTAACTTTAAGAGATTACTTAAACAACACCTCACAAGACAACACTGCAAGAGCAGGATATCCACCAGGAAAACACCAACTAAAATACTGAATAGCAAAACATGTTTTTTCAGGGAACCCCTCATTTCCTCTTCACATGACTGGAACAAAAACACTGTCACAGCTAAAGTGGTCTGATAAGAGCAGAGCTGCTATCACACGTCAGCACAGTATTTATATGGACTGCTGTAGACTTAAGAATAGTGATTCACATCGCTAAGACAAAAACACCTACCTGGTTGTCAAGATCTTCATAGGTGACCGAGAATGTGAGCTCCAGATTGGCATAGAGGCATAACTTTCCATCTTTTGTGACATTGAACTCAATGCCATGTGATAGCTGGATCACTGGAAAGAAAAGGAGCATACTTAGTGTTTTTTTTCCTTCTGTACATACAATTCTTACTAATCAGAAACATTAATTGTTACATTTTATGCTTTAAAAGGTCAGTGAGGGGCTGGGAATCAGTCCCTTCAGACCAACAAGTGGGCAAAGTTATGAAGACGACATCACTCAATCACAGGGTCTCACAAAAGCCACACCAATCCACCCTAATTTATAAAAAAAAAAAAAAAGTCCAATACCAAGTGTGTTGTCACTTTCATGTGACTGGTCATGTGTTCAGGAAGCAGAAAGCTGTAGCTCATAGAAAATGACCAAAAAAAAATATAAAGCAAAGCACATTGCAATAAAAGTAAAGCAAATGTGTAAGAGCGCCATGGAGCACACACTATAACAATTTCATAATTTAATGATTAATGTTGATCATGCATGTCTGCTGTGGTGGAACTACAACACTGATAAGATGGACTACAAAAATCACCATGTTGTTTTATGCAGGTCATGTAAACAACTTTCTTATCAAGGCTGGGATCTCAGATAAGACGTTTTCTAAGTAGTCGTTCATCCTGTCCAACCTCATTTTGTCATCCTGCTAAAGAGAACACCTATAGTAGGTCCTGCCTTCATTACAGCCTTCTCTGAAGGAGGTTAAACTCATGACAGATGTACAGCAACAGATGTTTCTAACGCAAGCCTAATCATGGCAAACCGTAAATAATAATAATAATAATAATAATAATAGTCACCCTTACAAGCAGCCAATTTTTAGTCACAGTAGCTTAGGCCACCAAGCTTGAGGTTTAATACATCCTATTATTGAGGGCTGAAAACCTATCAGCAGCTTATCACATGACATGATCCCCCCCTTAAAAAAAACAAAAAAACAAAACAACATTTGAATTGAGACTTGCTTAAACTTGTTCTGCGTCACCCATCAGTTAAACTGAGTTTTCCTGAGCGGTCTGACGGGATTATCCGTTTTCCTTTCTAAAAGATGTTCCAGTTTACTATCTGTTAAAGCAAACAATTTCTCTTTAATATTTAAATGCCAACAGCTATTGTTGCAGGGTAGCCAGGAACCTTCGGAAGCACATAAAAATTTAACTCCAACCTAGATTTTTAACCCCCTCCCCCCTAAACCATGCGACTCTAGTGCAAAGGAGTGTCAGCATTATTGTGTCCAAAGGTCTCAGTTTCCAGTCCTGGCCTTTTCAAAAACACACAATATAGTGGCCTTGAGTAATATTTCTCCAAGTTTAATAAAAGTATTTCAAAGTTTCTCTTTGGACATGTCATTCATGTTTAATCCAGTTCTTAAACCTGACCATTTTCAGAGAAATGCTTGTCCTTTGTGAAACCAACTGACACTGACCTATGAATCATCCAAGCATGACAAACAAGTCACCCGACTCAAGAGATGAACCAGTTTGCTGTCTACACTGACAACTTAAGAGTTGCTTTGTGAACACATTACTGGTTTACAGTCATTTGAAATCATTTTATGGTGAATTAATGAAAAACCAAACAACTCCCACACAACTACAAATACAGACTTAAATGTTCAAGATACTCCGGACCACAAAAATGTGCGTGCAATTAAACAAAGGCCGAAGTCCAGTTATAGGCCAGCTGTGGTTTTAACCGCATGCTCTCATCATCTCAGGTCTGCAGGTAATGTGATAAATAAACCTACAGAGTCCACAAGACACACAAGTGTTCATGAAATCTCTTACAGGCAGCTATACAATCTCAGCTATACCTTAACAAATTTCAGGGCACTGAAATACCCCCAGTATTATCAGAGTAAAAAGGTACACAGCATAGTTGCAACAGGGCCCGATAAGGTGGCATATTTTCGTATCAGCCTGCAATAGATGAGAACTTTCCAGAAAAACTATTAGACAAACAGTGATCTATCCAGCTAAGCCCAGTAATTAGAAGTTATCGTCACTTAATCAAATAAGCGTCTGTAAAATCAAAGACTCCTCAATAATCCAGAGCTGTAGTTCTACTCGGCATTTGCTTAGCTTTTTATGCTACACTTTAGCGCTACGGTAAATCGTTTCAGCTTCACGGTCACGTGCCAATTTCCAGCAAACTGTCAAAAAGCTAATGCTAACTATCGGACCCACGGCTCGTTTAATGTCGCACTTTCTATTCATTTCTGCTCTTGTAACCTTGATCTGTTTTAGGCCAGTATTATTTAGCAGAGGATAGGACTCCGACGGGTTTAGGCTTCATGATTAACTGGAACTTTCGCTTCTAAACCTGGTGTTATCTAATCACCAAGCCATCAGACACTAGCAATTGTTGTCCAAAACATTAGCTGCAAAATTAACGCGGAAATAGCTACTTTATATTTTTGAGTTTTTTGTTGCCGTTTTTTGTTTTT